AAGATGCACCCCGTTTTTAGAGATGTTTATATAGGAAAAATATGTGTTTTAGAATGGAAGAAATATACTATTAAGGTATTTTAATTTGCTTTTATTTTGGGCATGGTTTAATATGCTTACAGTGAGTTGGAAGAGATCTCATGGGCCATAATGAGAAATGCGGCCCCTTCCACAAAGCCCTATATCACAGAATATCAAAGCGGAAAATCCCACATTAGAATAGTAGAATCATAGAATTGGAAGAGACCTCATGGGCCATCCAGTCCAACCCCCTGCCAAGAAGCAGGAAAATTGCATTCAAAGCACCACCGACAGATGGCCATCCAGCCTATGTTTAAAAGCTTCCAAAGAAAGTGCCTCCACCACACTCCAGGGCAGAGAGTTCCACTGCTGAACGGCTCTCACAGTCAGGATGTTCTTCCTAATGTTCAGATGGAATCTCCTTTCTTATAGTATGAAGCCATTGCTCCATTGCGTCCTAGTCTCCAGGGCAGCAGAAAACTAGCTTGCTCCCTCCTCCCTGTGACTTCCTCTCACATATTTATAAATGGCTATCATATCTCCTCTCAGCCTTCTCTTCTTCAGGCTAAACATGCCCAGCTCTTTAAGCCACTCCTCATAGGGATTGTTCTCCAGACCCCTGATCATTTTAGTCGCCCTCCTCTGGACACATTCCAGCTTGTCAATATGTCTCTTCAATTGTGGTGCCCAGAATTGGACACAATATTCTACCAAGGCAGAATAGAGGGGTAGCATGACTTCTCTTCTAGAATTATTATTGTTTAATGTTGTCTTAAACTGTCAAAATTCCTATTGTTGGGTCCTTGGATAAAGGGTGGGACATATATTTTTAATGAAATTGTTGCACTTCCTGCAGCATTGTTCCTTAACTTGCACTTTCAACACAAACTGAGAAATGCAGAAGAAAGGCATCTAGTGTCATGTATCTCCGTCTTGGAATATTTACAAATACTTGTATTTGTTGGGAAGTTTGGGATGTTGCTTTAAAAACCTCCCAAGAAGCTAATCTTTGTTACAGTTATTAAATGTAATATATAAGTTTACTGCTCAAAAGCAACCCAGAGTATTTCGTTGGTAGTTTCATAACACACCCACAGCTATCATATATAATGCTACAAGCCACTGGTTTATGATGCAAAACACATACCCTCTATGATTCCAAAAATAGTCCAAACAGCTATTACAAAATAAACTGTGTGGAAGTATCACTTTTAATATGACAATCCTAATGTGACCTTATGTTTTAGTTGCCTTAAAACAGAATCAATTAACGTTACTGTGATAGTTGCTTTGGTTACTTCCTAGCTTTGGATTGAATAATGTATCAGTCTCTTCATACAGAAAACAACCACAAAAACGTTGACTTACAAATTAGCAAAGACAAATGCCAGGAGGGACTTGTTATTGTGGTCATATCCAGTTGCTTATATCAACATAATTTTCGACTGTAGGCGAATTTGTTCTTGCCTGACATATTCTGCATGTGAGCTCACTGGGATGAGTTATGCCTTATTTTAAAGCCCTTGTGTTAGGTAGATGCAGGATAAGTATATATTGACATCTATATAAATAAAAAATATAATGTTCGTTTGTGGGATTAACAGAACTCAAAAACCACTGGGGGAATTGACACCAAATTTGGACACAATACACCTAACAACCCAATGTATGTCCTTCACTCAAAAAAAATGATTTTGTCCTTTGGGAATTGTAGTTGCTAGGATTTATAGTTCACCTACAATCAAAGAGCATTCCGAACCCCACCAACAATGGAATTGAACCAAACTTGGCACACAGTTCTCCCATGACCAACAGAAAATACTGGAAGGGTTTGGTGGGCAGTGTCCTTTGGTTTTGGAGTTGTAGTTCACCTACATCCAGAGAGCACTGTGGACTCAAAACAATGATGGATCTGGACCCAACTCTACAAGAATTCTCAATATGCCCAAATGTGAACATTGGTGGAGTTTGGGGAAAATAGATTCTTGACATTTGGGAGTTGTAGTTGCTGGGATTTATAGTTCACCTACAATCACAGAGCATTCTGAACCCCACCAACAATAGAATTGGCCCAAACCTCCCACACAGAACCTCCATGTGGGCTACAGCAACGCGTGGCAGGGGACAGCTAGTTGATATGTGAAAAGGCAACATTTAAACATTAAGGATACGTGTGCATCCACAAATCTGCTCAAAACATTACTTATTCAGCCAAGCCCCCCCCCCCCCCCATATCAGGAATGGCTTGAGACACTTCAAGTTGCTTCTGGTGTGAGAGAATTGACCATCTGCAAGGACGTTGCCCAGGGGACGCCCAGATGTTTTACCATCCTGTGGGAGACTTCTCTCATGTCCCCACATGAGAAGCTGGATCTGACTCACCCCATGAGTTTTAATGTCAATAAAAAGGATCCACAAAGAAAGAGAGAACACAGAAGGACCAATGACTGCAATTCTAAGGCTCTCCAGCCAACACAGATCACAGAGCTCCATTTTAGAGGTTGTCATCTAAAATATTTAAGATTTTCAAGCTGTGGCTTGGAGATCATGTTCAAAATGTATAATGTAGGGTTCTCTTTATGAATTCCTTACTAACAGCAAAATTCCCATATGAATGAAGAGTGGGGAAAGATGATAGAAGGAAATAGTTTTCTTGAGATTGAGAGAGCTCTAAACCAGAGTTTGGATTTCATGATATCTTTATATAAATATACAGATTATGTTTTGATAGTATTTTGAATGGCTTTGAGCTTGAATGCTTCCCTAGAGATATAGGTAGCTGAAGGCTTCCCCTGGCATCAAGTCTAGTCGTGTCCGACTCTGTGGGGTGGTGCTCATCTCCATTTTCAGGTTGAAGTGCCGACGTTGTCAGCAGACACCTACTAGGTTATGTGGCCAGCATGACTGCATTGAGTGCCGTTACATTCCTGTTGATCTACTGACATTTGCATGTTTTCGAACTGCTAGGTTAGCAGAAGCTGGGCCTAACAGCGGGAGCTCACCCTGCTCCCCAGATTCAAACCGCCGACCTTTCGGTCAGCAACTTCATCAGCTCAGTGGTTTAATCCTCTGTGTCCATCTCTAGAAATATACTAAAGATATATTTGTGGGACGACAAAAATGATAATGTTGGATTAACATGTGAAAATTACAAATGGGCTTTATGATGTCCTTGACTCAGAATGACTCTTTATGTCAGATATTAAAACAATATTATTACTACAGGATTTTATTATAAATCAGTCATATTTATGTTGTTGTTGTTGTTGTTGGGATGGGGTCACAACATCCTTCATGAAAATGCTGAAATCTATAGACTTTGTCTCTCCTTGCATGCAAAATATCTTCTTGCATTGTAAATTACTTTGCTTCCCATATACACATCTGGGATGAAAAGAATGGCTGTGTATGGAACTATTCTATAGGGCCCTTTAAACTGTTTAAAATTTCAAAACAGCAGATCTGAGGTCCTTGGATATATTCTAATGAGTCTGAATAAGATGCAAGCACTCTTTTCTTCCCTTTCTTTGCTGTTACTCAGAACCTTTGCTATCATGTTTAATTTTAAGGCAAAACTTATATTTCCCGTAGTTTTTTTTGTAATTCTCCACATTGGTGAGATTCTGGTGATACACTCCAGTGCTGTTTCCACAGAAACCAATGACCTCTTGCCGCTCTGCTGCAAATATCCTAAAGATATATGATCTAGAAGGCTGACAACCTCTTTTTAGGATAGGGCAGCGTTTCTCAAACTTGGGGTCAGGTCCCCTGGGGGGGAGGTCGTGGAGGGGTTTCAGAGGGGTCCTCAGCGACCATCAGAAAACATAGATTTCTGATGGTCTTAGGAACCCCTTTGGCAGAGAAGCCTGAAAATCTCCTACTTTCCTTCTCTTCCTTTTTGGAAAACAGACGGATAATCGTCCTGCCAAAAGCCCTTCTCCATTGTGATTGGCTGGCCTCTCAGCCATGGGGAGGACTGTTTTTGAGACTCCAAGTGGGGAGGGGAGAGCAGGTGTGCTCGGCACATGGCAGCATGGTATGCATGTGTGCAAAGGAGAGTGTAAGAGGCTGGAGGGAGGCTCCCACCAATGAGTCCCTTCAAGACATGGGGTTCTGTGTGGGAAGTTTGGCCCAATTCTATTGCTGATGGGGTTCAGAATGCTCTTTGACTATAGGTGAGCTATAAATCCCAGCAACTACAACTCCCAAATGTCAAGGTCTATTTTACCCAAACTCTACCAGTGTTCACATTTGGGCATATTCAGTACCCCCAAGACATGGGGGTTCTCTGTGGGAAGTTTGGCCCAATTCTATTGTTGATGGGGTTCAGAATGCTCTTTGACTATAGGTGAACTATAAATCCCAGCAAATACAACTCCCAAATGTCAAGGTCTATTTTACCCAAACTCTACCAGTGTTCACATTTGGGCATATTCAGTACTTGTGCCAAGTTTGGTCCAGATCTATCATTGTTTGAGTCCACAATGTTCATTGAATGTAGGTGAACTACAATTCCAAAATTCAAGGTCAATGCCCACCAAACCCTTCCAGTATTTTCTGCTGGCCATGGGAGTTTTGTGTGCCAAGATTGGTTCAATTCCATCATTGGTGGAGTTCAGAATGCTCTTTGATTGTAGGTGAACTATAAATCCCAGCAACTACAGCTCCCAATTGACAAAATCATTTCCCCCCCCCCCCCCCGCCTTTCCCCGTACACCTCACCAGTATTAAAAATTGGGCATATTGGGTATTTGTGCCAAATTTGGTCCAGTGAATGCAAATACATCCTGCAGATCATATATTTACATTACGATTTATAACAGTAGCAAAATTACAGTTCTGAAGTAACAATGAAAACAATTCTATAGTTGGGGGCCACCACAACATGAGGAGCTGCATTAAGGAAGCTTGAGAACCACTGTTTACAGTAATGTGAACAATTGCAAATGTGTAATTCTTCCACATTCTTTTTCCTTTAGGATGATGAAGTCCTCTCTACATTCAGAAGAGGATGATTTTGTTCCAGAGCTTCAGAGAAGCATCCATCCCCGTGAAAGACCAGATTGGGAAGAAACTCTCAGTGCAATGGTAAAGAATCTCTTTTGCTGTCGTTGCCTATAGTCCTTAAAATATTCTCTGGTCCAGAGAGATTGGTTTATGCTTTTTGTGGTTATTTTCAAATCATTACATGAATTTCTGTATAGATTTGAGAATTGTGGAAAGCATTCCAGTATTTAGATAGATGTTCCAGTAGAGAGGAGGAGAAAGAAGAGATGGTGATGATGATGATGCTGGCTGATTCTCTCCCATTAATACATGCCCCAAAGCACAGCTAGTGATCATTTAAATGCTTTGTAATGTAGCAGTGATTTTCAATTTGCATGAACCGCTCTGTCAGCTAGGATCCATACCATGTATGATTTTCTAGTGGAAAATAGCCTTGTTGAAATACATTACATAAACAAACACCCTTATATATTATGTTATATTAGTCTGTAGAAAAAGAAAAACCTTGGATTTCAGTATGCGCTTTTTCCAAGCCTTTAAATTGGTGTTTGAAATGTAATAACTCCAGTCCTGGCACAATATCTCCTTCATATGCTTATTTCGCAAACGGTACTAGAAGAATGAAATAAGTGAAGCTCATCTAATTTGTATTTTTTTTCTTCTGCTTCATTTCTATTCTTTCAGGCATACAAATACACAAAAAGCACTCCAAATTCTGAGTGCTATTGTAGAAAATGCTGTAGGTCTTCGCTTGGTTGGGATGGTGAAAAGTCTTGGATTGCCAAATGCTAAAGTTAGTTCTTCTCTACAGGAAGGAACTTGTTAGGCATGCAATAACATGTCACCTTCTTCTCCCATCTCCTGCTCCTCATAGCTTCAGGAAATCCTTGTGATTAGTCCCTTCCAATACATGTAAAGGCTCATCATATGGTGAATATGGGCAGTAAAAATTCAACTCAGGGAGGAACATATAACAAATTACATTGATTATTGGGTAAATAATTCTGATGGCGCTCCACCACAGTATTGTGTTGTGTGTAGAGCATTGGAGATGGTGTAAGGAGACCAAATTCTCCAAACTCAAACTTATGATTAACTATGGACAGACCATTCTCTCTAAGAATACCGTATATATTCAAGTATAAGCCGACCCGAATATAAGCCGAGATACCTAATTTGACTTCAAAAAACGAGGAAAACGTATTGACTCAAGTATAAGCCGAGGGTGGGAAATGCAGCAGTGAATGGTAAATTTCAAAATAAAAATAGATACCAATAAAATTACATTAATTGAGGCGTCAGTAGGTGAAATGTTCTTAATATTTACATAAAGCTGTAATTTAAAATAAGACTTTCCAATTCTGATTAAACCGTCATTCTAACCTTCTTCAATGTAAATGTGCTTACGTATCCTTCCAATAATAATAATAGAGTAAAATAATAAATGTAATAATAAAAATAACAATAGAGTAAAATAATAAATATAATAACAATACTAAGTAGAGTAAAATAATAAATGTAATAATAGAGTAAAATAATAACTATAATAACATTAACAATAGAGCATCTATATAAATAAAAATGTAATGTTCGTTTGTGGGATTAACAGAACTCAAAAACCACTGGGCGAATTGACACCAAATTTGGACACAAGACACCTAACACCCCAATGCATGTTCCCCACTCAAAGAAATTGATTTTGTCATTTGGGAGTTGTAGTTGCTGGGATTTATAGTACACCTACAATCCAAGAGCATTCTGAACTCCACCAATAATGGAATTGAACCAATCTTGGGACACAGAACCCCATGACCAACAGAAAATACTGGAAGGGTCCTTTGATTTTGGAGTTGTAGTTCACCTACATCCAGAGATCGCTGTGGACTCAAACAATGATGGATCTGGACCAAACTCTACATGAATACTCAATATGCTCAAATATGAACACTGGTGGAGTTTGGGGAAAATAGAATCTTGGCATTTGGGAGTTGTAGTTCCTGGGATTTATAGTTCACCTACAATCACAGACCATTCTGAACCCCACCAACAATAGAATTGGGCCAAACCTCCCACACAGAACTCCCATGTAGGACACTGCAACGCGTGGAAGGGGATGGCTATTAATAATAATAAATAGAGTAAAATAATAAATGTAATAAAAATAATAATAGTGTAAAATAATGTAAGTGTAATAATAATAATAAATCAAATAAAATTAATACTAATTACAGAGTAAAATAATAAATAACATTAACTCGATTATAAGCTGAGGGGGGCTTTTTCAGCCTAAAAAGGGGGCTGAAAAACTAGGCTTATACTGGAGTATATACAGTATGTTATTATAAATTGCTACATCTGATTAAATGGAGTCTAATCCATGAAGTTCAAGCCTAATACATTTGTTTGGAGTGGTACAAGATTCTGCTGTGTTTGTTGAAGGACAATGTTTCATCTCTCGTATCAGTACATGTTGAGCCTTGGAAGAAGAGTGATAATATCAGACTGTTGTTAAACCTCTTAAAACAGTGGTTCTCAACTTGTGGGTCCCCAGATGTTTTGGCCTTCAACTCCCAAAAATCCTAACAGCTGGTAAACTGGTTGGGATTTCTGGGAGTTGTAGGCCAAAACACCTGGGGACCCACAGGTTGAGAATCACTGTCTTAAAACGTGACCCTGACAAGAGAAGAAGACTATTGTTTTGGTTCCAAGCCCCTCCAACATCTAACTAGAACAGATGAAGTAAACAAGCTTTTTCCCCCCTCCCTATGACTCCCTCTCACATATTTATCCATGGCTATTATGTCTCCTCTTAGCCTTCTCTTCTTCAATCTAAACATGCCTAGCTCTTTAAGCCGCTTCTCATAGGGCTTGTTCTCCAGACCCTTGATCATTTTAGTCGCCCTCCTCTGGACACATTCCAGCTTCTCAATATCTCTCTTGAATTGTGGTGCCCAGAATTGGACACAATATTCCAGGTGTGGTCTAACCAAGGCAGAATAGAGGGGTAGCATGACTTCCTTGGATCTAGACCCTATGCTCCTATTGATGCATGCCAAAATCCCATTGGCCTTTTTTGCCGCCACATCACATTGTTGGCTCATGTTTAACTTGTTGTCCACGAGGACTCCAAGATCTTTTCCACACGTACTGCTCTCGAGCCAGGCATTGTCCTTCATTCTGTATGTCTGAATTTCATTTTTTCTGCCTAAGTGGAGTATCTTGCACTTGTCCCTGTTGAACTTCATTTTGTTGGTTTTGGCCCATCTCCATAATCTGTTAAGATTGTTTTGAATTCTGCTCCTGTCTTCTGGAGTATTAGCTATCCCTCCCAGTTTGGTGTCATCTGCAAATTTAATGATCATGCCTTCTAGTGAATCACATGAATTCCTGCTGTCATCTGTGATTAGCTTTTGGGCAGTCTTGTTGCCACTCTTTGTTGTGTGCAACTTATCTGTACCTGTTTTTAATCAGATGTTTCCCAAACTTGCAGGTTTTGTAGAAAGATGAGGTCGAAATCAGACCTACATAAACATTTTTCCAGAAATGCAGAACACTCCAAACTTGTACTGCTGAATGGTGTAATGAAATTTTAACTGAAATCATGGGTAAAACTGACAAAGCAGCAGTCGAGAGTAGAAGAGTTCTGTATAAGACTTAGAGATGGATGACTAATTGCACCTGTGACACTGTACTCTTTAAATCTGTCCTTATTTGGCCAATTCAATTAATTGGTTCTAATTTTAGTTCAATTTACAAATGGAATATTAGTATTGGCACAGGTTTCTTGCTTGTGTTTCATGACTGTAAATTTATATTCATAATTCAGTTTCTGCATCTCCCAGAAAGTGTAGGTGTAAGCCTTTAAAACTTGAACTGCTTCTACTACATGAAAGTAAGGTTTTGCTCCTTGTACTACAGTGAAGGGTAATTGTGGAAGTGTGTTTTGCTCACTTTTTCATTATTGTGTGCCTACAACTTGTTTCCAGTTTATGGCAATCCTAAGGAGAACCTATTACAGCGATTTCTTGGGAAGATTTCTTCAGAAGGGATTTGCCTTTGGCTTTCTCTGAGATGAGAGACAAGGTATTCTAGTCAAGTGCTCAGACACACAGTTTCAGAAAAGCAGTATTTTCCCTCTGTTATGAACAACGTATTGCACATTAATTTATCATGCTTCATTCATATAGTGACACTGATAGACAGTATTAGATAGACTTACTTACTTACTTAGGCGATCCCTCGTTGGACGAGTAAGATGGTCTTCCATTATGCGTTTCCCTGTGGGTTCGTAGGTGGCTGTGGAGCCCTATTCTTGACCCGCATCTTCTCCCACAGTGAGGGCATTGGTTTCCAGGTGGAAGGTGGTCCTGGTCGGGGTTGGCTTGACGCGTCTTCCTCCTGGCACATTTCTCTCTTTCACCCTCCACTCGTGCCTCCTCGAATTCTGCAGCACTGCTGGTCACAGCTGACCTCCAGCTGGAGCGCTCAAGGGCCAGGGCTTCCCAGTTCTCAATGTCTATGCCAGAGATTCTAAGGTTGGCTTTGAGCCCATCTTTCAATCTCTTTTCCTGTCCACCAACGTTCCGTTTTCCGTTCTTAAGTTCAGACTAGAGCAACTGCTTTGAGAGATGGTGGTCGGGCATCCAGACAACGTGGCCGGCCCAGCGGAGTTGATGGCAGAGGACCATCGCTTCAATGCTGGTGGTCTTTGCTTCTTCCAGCACGCTGATGTTTGTCCGCTTGTCTTCCCAAGAGATTTGCAGGATTTTCTGGAGGAAGCGCTGATGGAATCGTTCCAGGAGTTGCATGTGATGTCTGTAGACAGTCCATGTCTCACAGGCATATAGCAGGGTTGGGAGGACAAGAGCTTTATAGACAAGCCCCTTGGTATCCCTACTGATGTCCCGGTCCTCAAACACTTTCTGCTTCATTTGGGAAAATGCTGCACTCGCAGAGCTCAGGCGGTGTTGTATTTCAGTGTTGATGTTGACTTTGGTGGAGAGGTGGCTGCCAAGGTAGCGGAAATTGTCAACATTTTCTAATGTTACACCATTAAGCTGTATCACTGGCATTGGGGAGGG